CAAGTAGCATAGTGGATAGAGTGCTGACCTTGGAGTTAAGACCCAAGTTCAAATTCTGCCTCAGATACCTACTAGCTGTGTGATCCTGGGCAAGTCACTTAACCTCTGTGTGCCTCAGTTTCCTCATCTGTAATATGGGTATCACAATAGTACCTACTTTATAGGATTGTTATATCAAATGAAACATTTGCAAATGATTTTTGCAAACTTTAAAGCACTATTTAATGCTACCTATTGTTGTTATCATTGTCCAAGAAGGGTATGTTAAGGAAAAACAATAGTAATGAACTATTTACAATCATTTTCTATAGTAATCATCTCAAAAGAGTAAAAATTATTGGTAACCCATTGGACAGTGGAAACATGCATAATAGGTGTAAATATGGGGCAACATTTGCCAACGATAATTTATGCTGGAGAACTTATGGAAAACATGTTGAGGCCATGTATGTTTGGCAAAGAAGGTAGGCTGGATAGGTAGAAAAAATGAGAGAAAATAGACAGCCCAACCACTATGATATCCCAAGATAGTTAAAAACAAACAAACAAAAAACCTGATGGAGGCTCCTGTAGGGAAAAATTTGTGAAAGGATATGAAAGAGAATTGATGAGGATGAGGTGTGGAGGTATTGAGACAGACATCACTGAGGGAAGGACTCATAATTAGGAATTGATGAGTCGATTAAATTAAACTTTTGTTACAAGAAATAATAATTGATACTGTAAGTATTGAATAGATAAAAACTGAGCAGTACAATATCAACAACTCCATGCACTAAACTCCAACTCCATGTACAAACAATTATACAAATTTAGATAGTGGTTTTTCAAACATTTTTAAATGCTTGTTTATTCATTGGTCTAAAATGAAAGCAATTCTCCCTTTATAATTATCTCCTTTAATCCTCCAGTAATCAGATTGCTATTCTATTGTTTGGTCACTATATTTTTAAAATGGTATGGGGAAAACTGGAGAAGAAAGAACAAAATGATAAAGAATAAATAATTTGTGAAAAAGAGGAGTTACAGAAGAGAAGGCTAAGTGGAAAATTTTATCATTCCCTTCAAATGCATGAAAAGGGTGCTGGTGTTTCTTGTTCATTTAAAAAAAAATCTTATATTTAGGAAAGACCAAACAAATGGGTTTAAATTAAAACAGTGGTGATTTGGGCTGTACATAAGGAAGAACTCATTGATCACTAGGCTGATAAACCCGCAGAAGAGTGACCATGGGAATGCAAAGAAATTACATTCAATAAGAATAGACAATTACCTGCTTTGACTGGTGCCACTATTCACCAGGCCTGTACATGGATGATTTGATTAGATAAGGTCTTGGGTTCTTGTCCAGCTCTAAAAACCTAGTTTATCTAATTATTTTAGGACCATGCACAAATTAAAACTGAACTGATAGAATTAGTATTTCTAAATGAAAAAAAAATATTGAAGTATGCTGTGGCTGAATCTATATGTCTGAAATAAATGCAGAGAACTCCCAATCAAATTTAAATCCTCCTTGAAAACAAAGATTATAGAATCACAGAATTGGAAAGAATCTTAGAAATCTTCTAGGCTAATTCTTAAGTTTCTAAGAGCACACAGATATTAGGTGACAAAGCTGGAACTCACACCCAAGTATTCAGTCTTTTTTTGGTTGTTGTTGCTGGGGGGTGGGCATGGGAGGCAAGCAGGGTTAAGTGACTTGCTCAGGGTCACACAGCTAGTAAGGGTGTGAGGCCAGATTTTAATTCGGGTCCTCCTGACTCCAGAGTTGGTGCTCTAACCACTGAGCCATCCAGCTCCCCAAATCCAGGTATTCTGGTTTAAAGTCCAGTGCCCTTTCCACTCTTCCGTGATACACCCCGCCTCTTCTCCATGCTTTCTTTCTCTAGCCCACAGAAAACTCTCTGATTCTAAAAGCATTTAAAAGATCAATTAGTATACATGCTAGGGTTTGTTTACATGGTATACCATATTGTTTTCTAATCCCCTCCCCCCAAAAAATGTATGTCTTCTTTCCCCAACTAGACCATAAACTTTCTTTGGCATTCAATAAAATACCTGTTAGAATAAGTGCTTAATAAACATCTTACTTGAGGGGATTTGTTCTGTAAAACTGGGACTGAGTCAAAAAGCCACACCCAAGGACCTCTAGAAGGCTACATGTTGCCTCAAGGTCACTGGTTCCCCACCCCTGACTTAAGAGAGAATGGCCTTTCTTCTTTTGGTATATTTGATGATGGTTGAAGGAACTAAGAAGAGAAAATTTAGTAAGAAAGACATGACAGCTATGTTCAAATCTTTGAAAGGTTATCACATAGAAAACGGAGTAGACATTGTAGAAGGCAGAAATAGGCCAATGGGTAGAAGTTAGAATACATATTTTAGTTCAATATGAAAATGTTCTAACACATAAGGAGTCATTTAGTGATAGAGAAAGTCTATTGCAAAGTAGTGAGTTCCCCATTACAGAATGTTCCATTAGATGATAGCTGACCAATTGTTAAGTATGTTGTTGAAATGATTCCTAATTTGGAAAGGAAGTTGAACTAGATGACCTTGAAATTCCTCTCCATCTCTAACACTCATTGTTGAGCATAGATTGTGGCCAGATTGAACACGTGTCAAGTCCTCAAATAAATACATATTGCTTGATTGACTGACTGATGCCAATAAGTAAACCATGATGAGTTTTACCGTTACAAGGTGATCTTTTTTAGCTACGCTCCTGGTTAGAGACATAGACTAACCTAGGAAACATAAGACTTTCTCTTCTCAATATGCAAAATAAGGTCAGACCTATATGAAGCCTAGTTGGACAGCATCCCGTAATGATGTAGCACCTCTATGATTTTTGTCCCTTCTTCTACACTCTCCCCCTGCAACTAGTCTGCTCCAGGTTCTCATCACCTCATTCATGAATTACTGTGCTAGGCTCCTAATTAACCCCCCTCCATACAGTCTATTCCTTTTTCAATCCAATCTATACACATCTACTACTTTCATCATATCAGCCTCCAACTTAAGAACCTACAATGGCCAAGTGTGGTGGCACACTCCCGTAATCCCAACACGAGAAGATCACCTGAACCTGGATGTTCCGAGTTGTAGTGGGATAAACTGATCTAGATGGCGTCAGCCCTAAGTCTGGCCCACATCCATGTCATGAAGCCTCAGGGATTGGGAGTGTGCCAGGTTGCCTAAAGGAAAGGTTTAGCGAGCCCAAGTTAGATCAGAGTTGGTCAAAGCTCTTGTGCCAATCAGCAGTCGCTGCACTTCCAGCCTGGTCTTAATTAATAAGCAAGTAAATGAATGAATGAATAGGACCTACATTGCCTAATGAATCAAGTTGGAACTTTTCAGCCATTTCAAGGTCTTCCTTCAGCTCTCACTGTTACCTTATCCAATCTCCCACTGCTGTTCAACGCACACATACATATACATGCATCCATGGGTACACACACACACAAACACACACAGCTCAACCTCATCTATACTTCTCCTTTTCTGCTGTTCACTCTACTTATCCGTTACCACCAATTCAGATTCTGCTTTTCCTTTTAAAGTTCACATCAGCTTTTCCCAAGTGCTTTCTTTCTCTAGCCCACAAAGATCTTTCCCATTCTAAAAGTATTTACAACATGTGTAGTATTCATACCTTCTAGGGCTGGTTTACATAATTGGTTTCTAGGTTTGATCCCCCCCCCATATATGTCTTATCTTTCCAACCATAGGCATCTTTGGCTTTCAATAAAATACCTGGGGCAAAGGGGCAGGGAACAAGCATTTATTGAGTGCCTACTGTATGCCAGGCACTGTGCTAAGTACTTCGCAAATATCATCTCATTTGATTCTCACAACAACCCTTTTTTTTGTGAGGCCATTTTTAAAGTTGAGGAAGCCAAGGCAGAGTGGTTAATCAACTTGCTTGTAGTCACACAGCTAATTAGTGTCTGAGACAGGATTCGAACTCAGGCCTTCCTGACTCCCAGCCCGGGGATCTATGGATTGTTTACTTAGATGCTTCTGGAAGAGTAAGTGCTTTATAAATTCCTAATCTGAAAAGCTCCCTTTGATGTAGTTGTGGTATAGGATGCAATAACTTGAGATGTGCTGTCTAAATAAGTGACCAATCTAACTATAAAAATCTTTGTGTGTCTACACACACAATTGCCTAGATCTCTATCGCTATCTCTATTTAATGTTTCTCTATGCACATAGAGTATTTATAGTATTGTGTGTATATCTATGCATACACATGTAGTTTCTATCCAATAAAAATACTTGTGGGTAAATATGCATACCTATATGTACACACTATACATACACACACACACACACACACACACACACACACACACACACACACGTAAATATAGATAGAGAGATGGCATCATGAGGTAGAAATAGGCCTGGGGGTCAAGATGATCTGGTTCAAGCCTTGCTTTTGACACATACTGACTGTGTGACCCTGGACAAGTCACTTAGCAGTTTCTCATACAACTTTTTAAGACTTAAGTCTTGCTGAGCAAGTCTGCTCTGCATTAGCAAAAAGAAGTTTGCTCAGAGGAGTTCCCTTTTCTGACAAAATCGGATATCTGGTACAAAGGAAAAAAATAAATAAATCATGATCAAGCATGGTAGAGTGCATAGAGAGCTGGCCTCCGGGCATGAGGTCTTGGGTTCAAGTGTGGCATCTGACAAAAATCCTAGGCAAGTCACTTGTCCTCTTTAGCATCTCTGGTAACATGACCTCCTGAGTTCTGACTCTTAAATGCTACGATTCCATGAAGTTGTAGCCTTGGTCAATTAACACTCCACGTGGATGTGCCTGCACTGATGTAATTTGGATGTAGATCCAGATTTTTTTTAAAAAAATGGTCCATATATTTGTACACATGAAATTTATCCAGGGATACTATGTAAATCATTAGAATTTAAAGGCAACAGAAATCCTGAAATGAATCAACAATCAATTAATGATAAAGAAGAAATAAAAGTCTTGAATAAATATTTATTAATTGGTGATGGTGGGGATGCAGTGAGTTTATAGTTGAATGCTGCTGAGTCTTCATATGTACATGTATATGATGAGAAAGACCTGGAGACTTTGGAAGCTCCATTCCCAGTCCCTGATTTAGGCAAAGTAACTCAAAGCCTCTTGCCAAGTACTGAAATTTCAAAATTGTATATTATTTCTAGAACAGGATGCAGAAATTTCTTTTTAAAGGAGCACAGGTAGAAGAGATCACTGGTTCAGCTTTTTTTCCCCCAATAAACTATGTTTATTATGCCAGTTCTAATTACCATGCAATCTAATGGATTTAAGGCTTATATTTTCCACATCACTAGACATCACAAAACATGAAAGCATCTTATACTGTCATTATACATCAATGTTTGCACTTGGTTATACATATATACAGAAATTATTCACACATCTTAACCTTGCTATTTCCTCCTTTCAAACCAACATAATTTTACTGTGAAAGCAGCTTGTTTTTAATAAATGGTATAAGAAATACAGCAAGGCACACATTTTTAAAAAAACTTTTTTTCTTATTACCACCTCAAGAAGCATAAAAAACCAAAATGTTGTACATAATTCAATAGTAGAATGTTACCAGTTTATAACATACAACACCGTGTAGTTGTTTCTTGAAGTGTTGCATAGGTTTTTTTTTTCAAGTGAAATAAATAAAATGGTGCTTTTAAAAAATTACTTTATTTATCATGGTCAGAATCAAAAAAGAGTAAGGATTCTTTCCTTTACTAAAATCAAATCAACTATTTGCTTAGGTCAAACCATCCTAATAAGCATAGGCATTATACCAGAAATTTGTTATATATGAAACATGACATAGGAAAGCATTGGCAGATATCATTCTAAACAGGTGAATTGAATACACTTGCAATTTGGTGAATTGTAGAACTTTAAAGAACAGTCAGGAGAAGAGCCAACAAAAATGTCCAACTGAGGAACACAGGATCAGTAGAGGTAGCTTGGGACAAGAATCCTTGTGAAAACAAATGGCTTTGCTATACTTCAGAAAAGAAAAGAAAAGAAAAAACCATCATCTAAAGAGGACCAGAGGACCAGCGCACCACGCAGCCAAATCAAAGCCCACATGGAAGAACTGCATTTGGAAGGAATATTTATCTTGGGAGGAGTCAGTGTAACCAAAGGCAGTGACACAATGGAAGCCAAGGCCATCCCAGGGTTAGGAGGATGAGCCTGCACCTGGACTGCAACCAGACTTCTGAAAGGAAACAAACAAACAAACAAAGGAATAGCACATTTCAGAAATTACATTTGCAATATACGCTGGAGACAGCTATCATGGGATTGCTGGTGGTCATCTCAATGTAGGAATCCAAACAGTATGAATGGGGGAGTTTTCAACAACCTCACTTTAGTGTCAAAAATGTCTTAGAATTAATGTGGGAAATTTATTGATTTATTTTCCTTTTTAAAACCTCAGTTTCAAAAGAAACAAAAGAAAATCATCAAATCTGACCTTTTATCTGCACCCTATCCACACTGCTGCTTGTGAACTAGCTTTTTCTTTCTTTTTTTTTTTTTTGCAACACACAAAAAATGATACAATCAATATGAAAATGTAAGGCTGCTAAAGCCCAGTTACTCGGAAGGGGATAAGGAATACTTGCCCTGGTCCTTTTGAGTAAACTCACTTTCTTACAAAGTGGACTTCTGATTTTAACTTGTGGTTTCAGTGACGGTGGAGGATTTATTTGAGGACATGTGTATTAGTCTCATAAGATGACATACCCTTGCTTAAGAGGCTTCAGTGACACCCCATTGCCTGTAGAATAAGACACATGCTCTTCTCTTTGACATTCAAAGCCCCTTATAGATTGGCCCCAGTATGTCTTTCTAGGCTGATTACCCATTCTCCCCCACCATGAGCTCTAACATTTTTACTTGCTCCACGTGACAGCATTCCATCTCCCAATTGTTTTTGAGTTAGCCCTCAAAGCTCAGTTGCCCATACCTAGAACTCCTAAGTCCTTTCAGGATTCAGTACGAGTACTTTTCCCTGAAAGGACTTTTCTTGATTCACTTGTTGTTCATCTGATTCACCTGTCCCTGCCAAAATCACTTTGAATTTATTTTGTATACATCCCCAAGAGGCAGTGTGGCATAACAGAGAGTTGGCCTGGAAGCCAAGAAGACCTATATACTGACTGTGTGGCCTTAGACAAGTCATTTAACTCCTCAATGTTCTAGCCAATGCTCTAGGATTATAAACTCTAGAGAAGTCACTGACATGCAATCACAGAAGGAATTTCTTCATTTGAGCATCTGTTACACTGATGACATCATAGGTCCAGTACCTATCATCTACTTATCTATAAACATGTTGTTTTTCCTTTAGCAGAATTTAACCTTTTTTAGGGCAGGGACTGCCTGAAAGGTAGCAGATGCTTAATAAATTTTTATTGATTAAATGTGATTTGAGCAAATAAATATGCCTGTTACTGACTGTATCTAGGAAAAATAGAGATCAGTTGTGATGTTTCAGATCCTTGAAAGCATACTAAAATAACTAACTACTTGCTCATAGCTAAGAGTGCAAGGTGTAGAAAACATGAAAATTAAAAAAAAAAAGATTTAGGTAAGTCTACATTTTGTGGTTTGAATACAAATCTGTAAAAACACAATCTTGCCTTCCTATCTGCAAAAAGGCCAAAGCAACTGGCTAAGATAGAATAAATCTAAATTTCAGACTTAGGCCAGTTGACAATCTTTGGTTCAAGGAATATCCAAAAAATAGCTTTAAAGAAGTTTGGGATTACTTAAGGATGCTTAGCAGCGATCAATTTGAAAATGACCTTGTGCTTACATAATATGCAATTTAATCATATGTAGTATATGCACTTGCATAGAGAGAGCACATTGTAGTGCTATATGTTAGCTACCATGATTAGTATAATACATATACATGTACATGCAATTATATTCCCAAAGTATATGTCCTATAGATTATTAGCTCTCAGATTTGTTGACCAGAAAAACAGAAGTGATATTACAGTCAAAGGGAAAACAGCAGCAGGAAGGCTTCCTAAGAAAGTAAGGTCTAAAATGGAGTATACTTCTGCTGTAAGTAATGAGTTAAAATTTTTAAACCCTAGAATTTTTCCAGCCTGAAGTTTAGGGTTAAACTATTCATCGAAGAGCAGAGGCTTATGATGAGGATTATGAAGAAATAACTGTCAGAATACGGCGAAAAGATTAGTGCAAAGTACATCTCTTAGGCAGTTCCTAGGAGGCACTCCAGACATGCATTATGTGCCTCTTCCAAATTAAGCAGAAATATCTGGATCTATCCAGTTACCTTTTCCTTTGATGTGATTTGCTGTAACTGACCTCTCTATTTTTATAGAAACATGGCAAATAGGGAGAAATAGTGAAAAGCACAGCGGTGTGCCTGGAAACCAGTGCAACTGCATCACACATACTGGGTTGGATTAGATCAAGTTTTCTCTTAAATCATTTGAGGGTGAGTTTTAATTAGATTCCTTGTAGGTAAAAGGTTCTCTTTGGTTACCTGTTTGCAGACTGTATCTGCTTCTCCTAAGTTATAGACTTCCAAGGATGACATTATAAAACAGGGGCTTTTTATGATCTCAGAATTTATTTCTGGAAAAGCCAGCAAATTGAATTTGGTGTAGTAAAAACACTGTCTTGGTAAAAGAATTCTCTGACTGACTGCCTTTCAAACAGTTTAAATGGAAGCACAGCTTTTTTCGTTTGCTTGACTGCATCTACTGGGAAGAACAATTATGATCATTAAGCTTTTATATACATAGCACTTTCTACTTTCCAAAGATTTTATGGTCATTTTTACTATTTATTCATTACCTTAATCCTGAAGGCACCTCAGTGTTGGGGGCACAGATGAGAAAGGAGAGGCATAAAGAAGTTAAATAATAATGTCCTGGATCACAGAGCTCTCAGGGCAGAATCAGAATACATAGCCAGGGGACATAGCTGATAAAATGCCCAAACAGTTTCATGAATATCGAAAAATCCAATTCTTCAGATGCTTTGCACAACACTGAAAAACTCCCTAGCCCTAATGCAAATGGCTTTTTATAGTGTTTTAGTATTTAGTATTTTCACTTTCCATTTGCATCCTCAGTGTTTAGAAAAGTGTCTGCCATGTAGTAAATGCTTAATAAATGCTTGCTGAATGATTATTAAAAAAAATCTTTAGAGCAGGAGTTAACCTGAAGTCTATGCACTATTTTTTAAGATAATATTTTAATTGGTTTCCCTTGTAATCCTGTGTACTTTTTTATGCATGTAAAAACATCATTCTCATAAGGGGTCCATAAGCCTGAGTAGGCTACTAAAGGGGTCCAGGATGAAGCAAAGGTTAAGAACCCTTGCTTTAGAGCAAGCCTGGAGTGATGGATAGTGCTAGACTTCCATAAAGAAAACAAGGGTTTAAATACTGCTTCTGACATCTAGCTTTGTAACCAGGAGAAAGTTCGTGGACCTCAGTTTCTTCTTCTCTAAGATGATGATAATGATGGAAATCATATCTGTAGTTCCTAACAGGATCGCTGTGAAGCTCATGTAAAGTGCTTTGCAAACTTTAGAGCACCATATAAATGCCAGGAATTGTTATTATGGTTGTTGTTTTGTTATATGCGATGGAGATCTGATTCCTTTTTCCTCCACAGTGCCACAGTTGTATGCTATGCACATAGAAGGTACCCACTCATCCAACTGGCAAGCATTTATTAAGAGCCTACTTATGTCAGGTCCTTTGCTGGGCTCTGGGGATATAGAAATACAAAGGATGAAAATGATCCCTACTTAGAAAACATTGATTAGATGGCTTGACGCTGGCCCTGCTTGTAGGATGCTAGGACTACATCAGAAGATTCTTTCGCCCTGCTTTAAAAAGCAGAGCTTGTTGTCCTTTCTGTTGTTGCCTGCTCCTTAGAAAGGACGAGGAATAAACTCCTAAAAGGTCACAAGACGTAGCAGTCTGCACTTTCCAGATCTGATGGGGGAACGGGATTTCTTAGTGCTAGGAGTTTGTCGTGCTCTGAATATGAGCCTCCAGATCCTGGCGTGACTGGTGACTTGGGGGTCATGGTCACATGACGTCATGCTCAGAGTGGTGTTTTCTTTCAAGCTTTTATATCTTTTGAGAAAAAGAGATTCAGCTGGGCTCTATAAGCCCCTCTGTAGGCTGGCAAAGCAAGCTGCATAATCGCTAGCTGAGGTGGTTTTGGAGAAGTTTATGGAATTGCTCTCACTTTCTTCTAACGGTCAGTTTTATCGCACGCTGATAAAGAATGTAATTAGAGTATGGACACATTTAATAGAGAATGCATTTCTCTCACTGCTTTTATTCTCATTCCCAAACAATGTAAATAGAGCCTGAAACAGTATAAAGTTAGCTGAGCTACATTACTAAGTCAATCTTCTTTCTCCAATTTTACATACTGAGTTTATTTTTAGGGTATATATATGGTATAGATTCCCCCTGCCCCCACCTCCACCTCTTCCAGCTCTACACAGAATCACACATTTTAATGAGTTTAGGGCACAGGTGTTAACAGGAAAAAAATAATGATGTTTGCCATTCATCTTTCAAATTAAATAATGTGTTTTTAAATAGTAACTTTTTTCATAATACATTATGGGAACAACATTTATCTGTCACATTTTAAAAGATGTATTTGTAATAAATGTAAATTACCTTTAGAAAATCAGTAATTAGGCTCATCAAAAAATAAACAATCTGCCACAAAAAAGATAATCTTTAGCATAGTTAAGTATAATAACTGTTATTTGAATAAGTTAACAAATTAGGGTAGATTGCTTCTGTAATTCATTTCCTATAGCACGAGTTTAGGTTACAACATTAAGCTTCTAAGGGGGGCCAACTGGGAGCTCATACTTTCATGAAATATAATTCCCACATTGGGTAGCTCATATTTTCCTTCTTTAAACTAAATCGAAACAGAGTATTCATCATTGGGTTTTTGAAATGGGTAAAAATGGAATCTTTGCATCAGTTATGGATATAATATCCTCTCAAATTTAACAGTCAATAACTGTCTTATTAAATATGAGGAGTGTGATTTTAAAAGAGGAGTGTTTTTTAAATGATGGAAACCAACCTGTCATCTTTAGACAAGATTTTAAAATTTTGTTTTTACCCAAATTCTATTAACCTGTCACATCCTTTCTCCACACTGTAGTTTTGGGGCCTCAGGTGTGTTTGCATAAAATAAAAGCCCAAATTTAATTCAAAACTGAAAACAAATAACATCGATTTGCTCTCCCCCTACTTTTATTTCTCAAACTGGGCCATTTTTTTCAGTAGTTGTGAAAGCATAATATGCTGCTGGGAAATTACCTGTGATAAAAGCAGCAGTGAATTGCAGCATCAAAGGTAAATCAGGTTGGAACATGACCCTTCTATAAGCTAACAGCTGGCTCATCTCAAAGCGTCCACAGCTTCCTCCTTAGAGTCAGTTAGGAAGCACTTGTTAGGTATCTACTATGCGCCAGGAACTGAGGATATCAAGAAAGGCAAATGCCCCCCACCCAAGGAGCTCACAGTCTAATCGGGGAGACAGTATGCAAGCAGCTATACACAAACCAAGAACTATATGGGGTAAATTGGAGAGAACCTGAGAGGGAAGGCACCAATGTGGTAGCATAAAGAAAAAGATGATTTAACAAACTGATGGTGTTTACATAGGCAGAAGTGAAATCAGAAGCTGTGTCTTTTTGATTGCGGTTAATAATTCCTAATTTGGGCACTCCTTTGACTCTTGATGTCAGATTTGGGGGGAGAGGGTTGAATCATCTAGATAATTATCTGAGGCAGCTAAGTAAAAATAGTGGGTAAAGCACTGGAATTAAATTCAGGAGGACCTGAATTCAAATCCTGTCTCAGACAAGTACTAGCTGAGTGACCCTGGAAACATAATTATTTAACCACTCTCCATCTCCATCTCAGTTTTCTCAATCCACAAAATTGGGAGAATAATAATAACAAATAACAAATAAAAACAAGGTTGTTGTGAGGATTAAACAAGTAAATATGTTTAAAGAATTTTATAAAACTTTACTTATTTACATTTTAGCTATTATTTATCTCAATACTTCAGTTGCCTGAGCTAGCATGAGATGATGAAAAAAGATTGACATAGATTCTGAGCAGGAAGGGACCTTAGAGGCTAAGTTCAATCCATTCACTTTACAAATGAAGAGGTTAAATGGCCTGTTCTAAGACCACACAGACAAGTAAGTAGTAGAGTAGGGATTCAACCCTATGTCCTCTGATTCCAAATCTTGCCCTCTTTTCACTATATCACATCCTTATTAAATGCCAATTTAGAAAAAGCTTCTTCCTTCCTGCCTTCCCTTTCCTTTCTTCCTTTCCTTCTTCCCTCCTTCCTTCCTTCTTTTCACATTTTTATTTCTTTCTCACAGGAATTATTTCAGCTTACTTTACCTAAATTTCTATCATGATAGCAACTCCAGTTAACCTAATTTAGCCTTTTCTTCTATGCTGGTTGAATTGGATCAAAATTGCATTACTATATTTATAGATTTAGTTAACAAGTCATTTATAGGAACTGCATATGGTAAATGGTATTCCTGTGGAGTGTCATTCTCCTTTACAATGCATGTATCTTTAATCACATAAAGACTGCACATACCTTTCAATGAGATGATTTATGTGCCCGGGGAGGATTACATTCTACCTGTGCATATTTATATGCCGGTCGTTGTGAAGGTTCAGTAGGTTTTCTTCACAGGTTAACGTTTTACTGTTAGGATGCAATATAGCCTGGTCTTTCAGCTGTTCTGCCTTCAGTGGGAGGCCTGGAACTACAGTTTTCACTAAAGCAGCACAACCATCTTCCAGCATCTCAGAACCACTTGGCTTCCCAGAACTACTCTCTTCATCACTCTTGCTTGGAGCAGCAGGTAGGGCTGAGCTTGCCTCACAGCTGTTTGAAGTACCAAACACATTACACATTTCCTTTCCAATGTCAGATCTTTCCTGGGGGGTAGGACTCAGGGTGCCTGTGTCAGTTTGCTCACTCGAGAAAGAAAACCCACTGTAGTTAGAGGAGGTTTTAGTCCCTTCCAGGGAAATTGGATCTTTTTCTTTCCCCACAGCTTCCTTTGGGGGCTCACTGGAGAAATAGCATTGCTGTTCACCTTCCTCATCATCAACACAAGCCTCAAAGAAACATTCAATATCCTCTTTTTCATCTAGGCCTGATTCAGGGAAGTCAGGCGGCAATAGAGTGTGGCTTTTCTCTTCTGTGTAGCTGGTGACCTCCCCACAGTCGCTGTCATGAGATGAGAGGGATAGGTAGGAATAAAAGTCACCTTTTCTGAGCTGGATAGGCCTGTGAGAATGCTCTAATACTTTTTCCTTGATCTGAGCTAGTGATGTGGGAGTGGCTGCCTCACTCTCAGGTTGGGATTTATTCTTCAGGGCAGTTGAAGCCATGTCAATGATCTCCTTAACAAAGTTGTGAACTGAGCAATCTTCTGTATCTTGCTGATGTAAAGCATCTAACTCACAGTTGCAACAGGAAATTCTGTCATCTATTGCGACATTTTCTTCTGTTTCACTGGGCTCCAGTGTCGGGGAGTGATCGGTAGGCTTTTCAGCTGTTGTGGGTGCATTGTCAGATGAAGGTTTCAGTACCGAGGGTTCTGATTCCTTGATCTCCCTGGTTTTGGTGGCATGTTCTGGACAAGACTTGTCAGTAGGAATAGAAACTGCACTTTGAATTTCAGAGAGCAAGTGGTTTTGACATTCCTTTGGAGGGTTCCTGGAAGGTAGAGGAACAAATTCCTTCCCATCCATATTTGAATCATCAGAGCTATCTGTAAATGCTTCACACATGCAACTCTCACGCTCGGAAGCCTCATTCTCAATTGGAACAAGACCCTCTGACATATTTGAAATTCCATTTGGTGTTTCCTTTGGTTTTTCTGGAACACTTTCGACATTGCCATTCTCCATGTCATCCATAAATGGATCTTTATTGACTTTGGAAATATTTTTCTTATTTTCTCTCTTTGTCCCAAATTCATGCACTTTAGATGAGTTTTTACTGTTTCCATTATTTTCAGGCATCCGCTTTGTGGAGCCATTCAAAAGGGCTTCAATATTCAGTGCATCTGTGGCATTAGATGTCTCACTGCTACCTCTATCTTTGCTGCACTGAATTTCATCACTGAGATTACATCTCCTCTTTTCTCTTGACAGTGAAAACTTCGGTCTAATCCAGGTCTGCAGTTCATTCTTGATGTAATCCAGCCCTGAGATTAGATTGCATTCTTCATAAATCTCCTCATCTGTTGCAATACTGGAGTCATCTTCATCTTTGACACATAACTCTTCTTCAGTCAAGGTTAGAGTAGAGCTGGAGAGTAGATCACTGTCATCTTCATCGTCTGTGCAAGCAGAGGTGCAGGAGACATTAACGATCATGCTGACATTGACATCACTCTCATCTGCCACTGAGTGAGTAAGACGTTTCCTGAAGGATGCATTTGAATCCTCTGGGATTTTGTTCCTGGGTAATACGATATCCTCTGAGCAAAGAGAGAGCTCATCACTGCTACTAAGTTCAGTGAGAGAGGCGGCTGAGTCTTCATTGATAGAGGATGCTATGTCCAGTTGGCCAGTGAAGGACATTTTTTGGGAACTGCTTTGGAGTGTGATGTCAGAAACACTACGCTTTATCTTTTGTTCTGAGGGGCTCTGGATATTTTCCAATCGATTCAGGAGATCTAAAGTTCTTTTGCTTAGTTGACCAACTGAGCCACTGCTTACACTGATGTCCTCTGAGCTGTGGCGGCTAAAAAGATCTTCGTTGCTTTTATATGATGTTAACCAGCTTTCCAATGATGTGCTCCGTTGAAGGCCATCACCGTTTTTCAAGACGCCTGATCCAAATAAATCACTTCCGGGTGAAAGGGACTCCAAGGAAGAGCTTTGTGAGAGGAGAGGGAGTTGCTTGGCATTTTGCATGCCAGGCAGTGTCTTCTCTCCATTGCCACTTTTACTGGAATTGGGATCCATTTCATGGGGCACACTTGCCAAAATACATTCGTGGGGAGCTGCATCTGGATATAACTCTGAAGCCTGATGTTTAGATTTGCAGGGTTTTTTATCAAAATAAAAACCATGAAGCAATGGGTCCTCCACATGTGCTTTTTCACTCTGTGATTGTTTCATTACCATTGGTAATTTGAGTTTTGAGCCTTGGAGGTATGAGTAATCATAAAATGTAAACACATCATGTTTTCCTTGTAATTCTTCTTCCAAACAATCAGGGGTATGCTTGGTAACACTGTTTAAATCTCCATCTTTTCCATTTACACAACACATTAGTGATGCGGGTGACGGAGAACTATTTGGAGGCTTAATGTCTTCCTCCTCGTCTTTAATTTTTTGTTTTAATATGTTAACTACATCACTCATGTGAGGACCTGGGTGTTCGGTTTCAGGGTTACTCGGGGGTCCGTCCATATCATTTAGCAGGCACATTTCAGAGTTGGTAGTAGTCTCTGTGTCCCCTTCACTGACGATGCCACTCTCGCTCCCAGAATGTTGGCTCATGTCTCTTCCATGGCATGTGCAAGGCTTAACCAAAGTAATACCACCTACCAGGTCTGGCAAAGATTTGGTAGATGAAAATGAAGAGTCTTTACTGAGACTTTTTGTTAAAACTTTAGACTGGGTTATTCTGGGGAGGTTGGGGCTGGTTTTCATAAATGGCATGTGGTTTTCTTCATAAAGTTCAACATTGTGGAGGCTATAAACTTGGTAGATATGTGGGCTAGAGGGGGCAGTGATGCTAGAGCCATAGTGAGATCCTCCTTGGTCACTAGCACTTTCCTCATAACTTCGGTCCTCACTGCCTGCATCCTCCAGCTCAGATTTCAAGTTTGGCATGGTGTGTGCATGTGTGTGTTCTAGATCAAGATCGCTGGATTCTTCATTTAAACTGATTAATTTATTACTTATGTCAGTTTCATCCCATTCTAGGGCATCTTCACTTGTCCCATTTAGATCCATCAGGCCATGGTCAATCACATTCAAAACCTCCTACAAGAAGCAAAAGAGAAAAAAAAGAAGAAAGTAAAAATCTCCATTTATTTTCCTAATTGGTTAACACCAGACTCTTCTTTCCAGGAAAAACGCACCATGAATATGATGTTAGAAGTCAAGGCAAATGTGGTCTCATATTTATTTTCATAGTACACCCAGAATCCGGCCTCTAGTGCCACTTCTAGACATCACCATACCTTGCCACTATGGAGTATACTCTCATCCCCACATCCATTTTCAGCTCCCCCATTAGAATGTAAACTCCTCAAAGACAAAAACCATCTTACTTGCTTGTATATATAATCCCAGCACTTACCACAGTGCCTGGCACGTACTAAACACTTAATAAATGCTTCCTCTAGCGCGGGAAGGCAGCATAGTGGATTCACTGGGTCTGGAGTCATGAAGACGTGACTTCAAATCTAGCCTCAGATGCTCACTAGCTGTGTGACCCTGGGTGAGTCACTTACCTTCTGTCCGCCTCAGTTTCCTCAATCATAAAATGAGGATCATAATGTCACCTACTTCACAGGGTTGTTGTGAAGACTGACAGAAAATATCTGCTTTTCTGCAGACACAGTTGGGAAAAAGCACTCCTAAATCTTTCCCCTTAGATAATAATAAATAATAGTTATACAAGGGTGCTCCAAAAGTCTTGGTGCAGTTTTAAGCTTTAATAGCTTAAAGTTATTAATTTTAATAGCTTAAAACTACACTAAGACTTTTGGGATGCCCTGTATAGTGCTTATATTCACAAAATATATTTGCAAAGCATGTTATATTCATCACCTCATTTGAGCATGACACCAACTCCATGGGGTAGGTGATATTATTGTTATCATCAGTTTGAAGATGAGAAAACTGTGGGTTAGAGATTGATTGCCTCGGGTCAAAAGTGTGTTGTGAGGAAAGGAGAAGAATTTCAAACCTAGGTCTTCATGAACTATTTCATTTATACCAAATTACCTTGCAAAAGATTTCCACTTGAAACAAGCTTCCTTCCAGAAAGCATCCAAGCAGATGCATAAGAGATGCATATGGGCGTATATGCACGGGCAGCTCTAGAAACCTTGTCCACACTTCTATTACTAAATGGGACCATGTTGGTGTATTGGTGCTTGTGAGCAGCACTTACATAGAGGAGGGTGGGGATATCCATGAAGGGTGTCCTCTCCTTTCTTGGAGCCTGTTCCTTATCCCATAGTAGTAAAGGAATATTGAGCACATGCAAGGTAAGTTATTTTTTTTATCCAATTCGTGATTTCATCAGTATAGGGAGCTTCTGATGAGGGTTCTCCTCTACCCCTACAAGGATCAGTGACTGTTCTGAAACTTAAAGGTTTATAGAATTGCCTGAGTATTGCTCAGAGGTTAAGTGACTTGACCAGGATCACACAGTCAAGAAGCATCTGAAGTAGAACTTAAATTAAGGTCTTCCTGCCACCAAGGACAGTTCTCTACCAAGTACACCATGTTGCCGCTTTCCACTATATTGCTATTGCCAAGCTCACCTAGCAGAAGCAGCTGGGGAACTCTGAGGGAAAGATAAGAGGTTAGCACATGCCCCACCACATTGACCATCAGTCACCTCTCCTCAAACCCTAATGGAAATAGCCCATGACATTGAGGCCAAAGAATAACAGTATACTCTATGACCCTGGCTCCAGCCTGGCCCTTAGGCCATCATCAAAGGGAGCATCCTCTGGGGAGAATCTACCACCACCACCAATGGCTGGCCAGCTCCTACCAAAGGGCATGTAAGAACCCTAGGACTAGCACTGGCATGGAGATAGCCTTGCCCTTACAATAATCCAGCTGAGTAACCCCAGTGAAGGAGAGGTCAGGCATCTTTACCAGCTTCTGAGCAGCTGCTACCCAGTTGTCAGGCCAGGCCTCTTAGATGAAACAATGAGGGATCTTGAGGGGGAGACAAGGGACAGCATCCATCCCACCACCCCACCCTAAGACTATTAACCCTATCTCTAGCCTAGCACCTGTCACCATCCTGTAGGAAATCAACTATTATGGAGATGCAACCAGACAATTGCCTCCTCAGTAGTGAAAATTACTAAAGATTCCAATCCAAAATCCAATCGCCAATCAAGGTCATTGTCATCTTCAAATGGTTCAACATTAGAAATGGATCTGATCTAATCAGTAGAAATGACACTATAGAAGATGCCTTACCACCTGTTTTGCTTCTGCATCCTACGTACTATAGGACCTTTCCATCTGACTTGCAGCTGAAAACCCCTCATATGTGTTGTCTCCCCCATTAGGATATGAACTCTCTGAGAATAGGGAGTTTCATGCCTTTCTGTTTGTAACCCTGATACTTAGCAATGTGCTTTACACATAGTAACCACTTTTGTTGTTGTTGACTCATTTCAGTCATGTCTGACTCTCCATGACCCCATTTGGGGTTTTCTTAGCAAAGATACTAGAGTGGTTTGCCATTACCTTCTCCAGATCATTTTACAGACAAGGAAATTGAGGAAACCCGGGTTAAGTGACTTGCTCAGGGTCACACAACTAGTAAATGTCTGAGGCTGGATTGGAACTCAGCTCCTCCTGGCTCCAGAGCTGGCGTTCTATCTACTGCACCACCTAGCTGCCCAGTAAGCACTTAATAAATGCTTTTTTTTGTTCATTCTATTTATCTATCCATTTATTCATTGTAAGCTCTATCATAAGTATTTTATATTATGAATCCGAAATTCTTTCAACAGTTTGGCTGGGAAAAAAAACAGGTCACAATGTTTTAATTTCTTAGTAGTAGGGAAAAAAGATTTGTCTGAAGCATAAGTAGTCCTCAATCCTTCTTCAAACTGATAGTCAAAGGATCACACACAAACATATTAGGTATAAAATACCCATTAGCACTTTATTATACTGGATATGTAAGAGATTATCTGTATAGCCTACTTAAGTGTAAAAGAGTTCAGTTGCAAAGTAAACATTAAAGGATATTTTTAAATTTTATAACAGAAATCTTTCATGCTGCCAATATTATAGCAGTTAATCTAATACACTGGCAGTCATAACACTTGCTTAGGTATGGAGTACATTCTCTGTGATGAATTTCTATTAGAATTTCTGTTTATTCTTTGCTTGCTGATAAAGGAAGCACTAATGACTGGTTAGCATGGTTAATGAATGTTAAAATCCTCAGCTGTAAGAACAATCAATCAGTCTAATCAAATAGTATATTAATTTCAAATATTGTCTGTGCTGACACTGTACTCTAAGGAAGTGCTAATAAATAATTGAACTAGTCTTTCAATTTAAAAAAAGAGAGGGTTGGGGTAAGAACCTGTCATTCTCTGATAGAATTTACTTCTTGGCAGGACAATTTCTAACGGTGCCCCATATGATATGGATGCATTTTTGGACATGCCACACCAAGAGCCTGACATCCATACTGGCATCTGGGATTTGGTTTATATGCAACTTGGGTAGCTCATGCACTGTCCCAGCTTTTTGGTTCCAGAGAGTTGGTCTAAATGCTTCTGAGTAGCAAGGAGAGATGTGTTGAAAATGCATGTGGGTGTGTGCATGTACATGCACATGTTCACACACATGATCTAGTAACATCTAAAGAGAGGCATCATGCCACAGCAGCCAGAAAGCCAGCCTCAAAACTTGAAAGATATGAGTTCAGCTTCTGCTTCTGTGGCACACTGGGGATATGACCCTGGGCAAATCACTTAGCCTCTCAGTGTCCTTAGGCAAATCTAAGAATGTAAGTGAATCATCATTTGCTGGTCTGATTTAGGACTTGGAATACACTGTTAGAACCATAGGGTCTGGATCAAAAATAAACATTTTAAGGACATAAACTTTGTTCTAAAAATGAACCAGGTTAAAAAAGTATTATAGAACAAGATAATGGAAAATATTTCCCTTAGGTGCCCATTTTTCCTCTTTCCCATAACTGGTTGTTGATTCATGGGTACACATAATCTTAGGCAGCTAGAAAATGTAGGTTATAGAGCGCTAGACATGGAGTCAGGAAGACCCAAGTTCAGATCTTATCTCTGGTACTTATTAGCCATGTGACTTATTAGCCATCTGACTTTTTCCAGTTCTACTTCCATAGTATCACTTGTTGCAGCATTCCCTACCCAATAATATAGGAGCTCTCCCAGTCCAGGCCCTCATCAACTCCAGTCTAGAATTCACAATATCATCCTGACTCGCCTACCTCTGACCTCTCTTTTCTCTACAATCTATCCTTCATGTTGTTGCTAAAATAATTTTCCTTTCATACGGTTCTGAGCATATCACATACCTGCTTAAAGATGCCAAGTTATCCACCATGGTAGATAAAATACAAGCTCTTCAGCCTGTCATTTAAGATGCTTCATAAGTTCAATTATCTTTAGAGCCTGATTTCCCCCTACTTTCTTTCGCTCACTCTACGGCTTGGCCAGATCAGGTAACTGGCTGCTTCCCAATCCAGCCTCACCCTCTGGCTTCTCCATACCTTCACATAGGTTCTCCCTCTTATTTTTAACTCTACCCATATCTCAGCATGTTGACATTTTTTGGCTTCTTTAAGGCCTAACTCAGGTGCCACTTCTTCCATGAAGCTGTCTCTAATTTCCCCAGATGCCAATGATCTCTTCCTCTTTGTATTTTCTTATGACACATTTTCTTGCCTCCATTACATTCTACTCAGTATTAGGCTTGGTTTTAGTTATCATCTACCACTATCCTTCTCTCACCATTAGACTATAAACTCTTTGGTGATGTTTTCATTTTTGTGTCCCTACTACAGTGCCTTGAACAGAGTAGATGTTTTTAATAAACATTTGCAAAATTGTGTTGAATTGAACCATAAAATATATATCTCCAGACTATGAAATGAGATGAATCTCACATAGGAATGACATTAATTAGAATTTTTCATAGCTCAAAAGCTTACTTTTTAGAAGTTACGTGTCTATAGTGATGTAACTAAAGAAAATAATATAATCAAAGGCAATAGTATTTAG